TTTTTACTGGGACTAATGATAATGAAGTATTTAGAACAGGGACCTAGAGCACTGAAAGAAGGCAGAGCTTAGAGAGATGAAATACCTAAATATATCATATGACTTCCTGGATCCTACTGAGATGATGATGATGATGAAGATGATATGATGATGATGATGATTTGTTTTAAATCTATACTCGAGCGGGCCCAGTAACGTCTCCATTGGAGACTTTGTTGTTACTGTGTCTGGCATATCGAATACTCTCGGTAGCTTGCCGGGCTCTCCGAGAGGGGCGGAGGAATAGAACTCGGGTCGGCCATGTTGGCCGCATGTAAGGCGAACGCCCTACCCGCTGTGCTATGGCTGGAGCGATAGCACAGCGGGTAGGGCGTCTGCCTTGCATGCAGCCAACATGGCCGACCCGAGTTCGATTGCTCTGCCCCTCTCGGAGAGTCCGGCAAGCTACCGAGAGTATTCGATATGCCAGACACAGTAACAACAAAGTCTCCAATGGAGACGTTACTGGGCCCGTTCGAGCAAATCGATGATCAACGGGGGGCCTCAAATCTATACTACAAGACAGTAAAGCCTATGTAAATTTTCGGCTTCCTACTGTTTTAGTAGGACTTTGGTACAACAATGCAAGTGTCCTGAATAACATCACAATTAGTAATTTAAAGGTGAAAGCCTAAGATCTTAAGTCATTTTCTCTTTAATTTTTTATATAGACTTCGAGGTATTATGAGAGGAATAGTTTATACCAGGAACTTCTTTTATCCAAATGAAGATGGGAATTATTTATGGGGTTGTCAGAGAATCATGATCACTTCATACTTGGTGGCCAGAAAGCATAAAATATTAAAACCTTGGAAAAGTGCTCCTCTGAGGCGCCAGCCAGAAATCCTAGAGCAGACTTAGGTAGATGTATTTCTCAGTATACTCTGGACCACCGAGGTTGGTAGTCTACTTTGAGAGTCTAGTTTTGCATAAATATTATAGGCAAAACTAGACTATACAAATCCAACTTAGAAGAAATCCCCAGGAAGTGATGAAAAGCAGAAATTCTCATACTTATGATTGGAACCAAAAGAAGTTCAAAGAATGAGTCTGAGTTGAAGCAGTATTTCCGAAGCAAATATTGGCAAATTTGCAAGTATCTCAGTTCTAAGACCGGAAGGAGCATTATATTTCGTTCTCTTTGTGGCTTTTTTTCTACAGAAAAAGGAATTGGTATAGAATATAAACAATAATTTAAAAAATTGATATCAGGCTATGTGTTATCAATTTCATTACAATAAACTATAGTGACTTTGCAGTAATCACAGCGAACAATTAACAAAGATGACCTTTGAGAATTCATCTCAGATTTTAACAGAGCAGCTATAATGAGCACAATTATAATAATTGGTAGAAGCGTTTGCAGCATTCCATAATACACAAAAGACAATATGGCAAAATGAAATAGACTATTTTCTGAGTGCGCCACATGAGTTTCACAAAGGAAATCTTATGTTCACTATGATGTGTACAGGGCCGAGAGAGAAGTCGTTTGCAGCCATATCAGATACCATGGGAAATAAGAAACCCATTTCCTGAGTGTGTATCCACATTTGTCTTTGTTAAGGGTCAGTGGTTACATAATGGTCAATAATGTGCTTAAATCAGTAAAAGTATCTGTCCCTTTCAACAGGGGTTACCCAAGATAATTGGGTTGGAATACAAAAAAAGCATCCATTGTATGTCTTTCAGACATGAGAAATGGTGTCAGTTTTATACCATTCTTGGAAAATTTAAGAAAATAGTCATTTACATCGTTTTTCTGTAGGAACTAGTTGACTCTTCAAACTCAGTTTAGAAAAAACTAATTGTCACTCCTTACAGTGAAAGAACTTACTCTGAGATAAATAAGTAAATATCTTTTCTGATACCAGCTGGGAATAGAGCTAAAAGAGCAACAGCACATTTCTTCCTTGTGAAGGCCCGAGTTTGATCTCTAGCATTATATGTATATGCCACAGAGCACTGTGGCCCAGGTCGCCCCTAAGAACTGTGAGGATCGGATCTACTAACACCCAAGTATGGCAGAGATTAGTACCAGGAATTTTACTCAATGACCCGGAGGACAACCACACATGTTAGGGGAAGGGGGAGCTCAGAAAGAGAAGGGAACACCAAATAAAGGGTGTTGGGAGGATCCGCCCATGATGGGAGAGCATGCTGAGGGTAGACTGTCGACCAAGCATGATTGCCACTCAATGCCTCTTTTGCAGACCATGGCACTCAAAAGGAGAGAGAGGGAAATGCCCTGACACAGAGGCAGGGTGGGCTGGGGGCTGGGGGGGGAGGGGATGCTGGGATCGGGGTGGTGGGAAATGCGCATTGGTGGAGGGATGGGTGTTTGATCATTGTATAATCAAAACCCAAGCACAAAAATGTGTAAGTCTACAACTGTATCTCATGGTGCCTCACTATTAAAAAATAAATAAATACAATAAAAAAATAAAATAAAAAAAAAGAACTGTGAGGAGGGCAAATAGAAACAGAACAAATCCAAAGTGGCATGGCAATATTAGCAAGGAGTTATTTGACCAAACAGTCTTACAAATGGAGACTAGAGCGATTAGTCACCAGGCATGTTTTGATGCAAAAGGTCCGTGCCATCCCTGGTACAGCATGGGACCCTGAGCATGGCCAACTATCTGTAAAAACTGCAAGGTGTGGCCCCAAAATGAATTTTAAAATTCTCATAAATATAAACAAAAGGAAGAAAATTAGGTTTAAATTTCTCAAGTTATCAACAGATAATTGTACATCAACAGATAACTGTCTTTATAGCTATACGTTCCAATTGAAGATGCCAGTGGAACTCACCTATATTTAGAAAAAAAAAGATATTCATAAAAAGAGTAACTTGAATTCCATCTACAATAATTTGGTGCTAAATGGTCAAGCGCATCACATTATGTGAAGATTCTATTCTTCCAAGAAAAATATATAGTAGTATGACTTTAGTAGAATTGCAAAAATAAATTCAGCTTTGTCCATGGTGAGATTTTTGTGAAATGTTTATGCATTTATAATGGGTTTATATACAGACACTTATAGTTCCTTATCTTAATTTATGTGTTAGACACTTTTAATTTCCCACACTGTTATTGATTTCTCCTCCATTGCTGACTAGTAGACCCTAGATTATTGAGCAAATTAGTGAAAAATATATTATAGTTTTCAGCCTCTCTTGCAGCTAGGTATAACAAAGAAAAGTTGAAAGAGAAAAGCTGTAAGTGAAAAGATCCTTGGGGCTGGAGTGATAGCACAGTGGGTAGGGCATTTGCCTTGCACGCGGCCAACCCAGGTTCGATTCCCAGCATCCCATATGCTCCCCTGAGCACCGCCAGGGGTAATTCCTGAGTGCAGAGCCAGGAGTAACCCCCTGTGAATCTCCGGGTGTGACCCAAAAAGCAAAAAACAAAACAAAATAAAAAAACCACAAAAGATATCCTTGGAAAGGAATCTCCTTCAAAAATAGTTTCTACTTATACAATCTTCCCTTTTAATTAATATTTTTAGAGGGGGAAGGTCTGCCAAAGAAGGTGATTAATGTTGATTTAATGTCTAATTGCATGATGGAATCAACCTTAAATGTAATAGCTATATATTAGAATTATGAAGAAGAAAACTGAAAGGTCTTTCTTTGTCACCACATGGTTACCATATGTCCCTGTTCTATAGACTCTAGATTTCTTTAACACAGGAGAGAAAAAAAACATCCTATCACACACAAGACTTGGATTTTGAATTTTCTATTAGGTTAAAGAATGTAAACCTAATTAATAAGATCTACACACATTTTCTTTTTCATGATGTACACATGAATTGATAAATAGGAACAAAATATAAGAACAGGCTTTCAATGTCTGAAATACAAATAATGTGTTTAGGATAAAATTCTATGTGTAGTGATAATAGACATATGGGAACTGTATTTTTTACTGTCACAACTTTATTTAATTTAAAGAAGAACTCAAATAAGGGCAGAAGAGATGCTCAATGAGCTGAGAAAATATTGTTAGCATGTCATATAAATGTTAGCATGTCATAAAAATTTATTGTATCAAATTTACTTATCAAATATATATGTAACAAACTAGGCCAGAAAATCCAGTATGGATCGAAGTCTGACAGCTATACTGTGTGTATTTCTTGGATGAATATTGGATCTTGATACTTTCATATGACCCAGTCATTCTATTTACATTAAATAATTTACTTCTGGATTGAAAAAAAAAGTCTTTGGTCTTTTAGCTTTTATGTGCAGCAGACAAGTCTTAGAAAAATTCCTATGACGATAGAAAATTATTAGCATGCTTTTGATGTTCAATGAGCCTTTTCAAGTCTTATTTTTACTCTGAACTCTTGAAAAAGCATTAAAATATTTTAAACAGAACAAGCAAAAAGGATTGAAAGCATTATATTGTATTTAAAATAAAGTCTGTTCCTTAGACTGCTTTTGATCATTCAAAAGGCAAAAATTTTATTTCAGTGTTGCTCTTCAGTAATAAGAATTTAATAGCTATTGTGATTATTTGGTCAATAATGCTTTAGGGGAAGCAAATATTCAGGTTAAAATTTTAGAGCTATGCACCCCAGGTTTTCCATGGGGAAAATGGTAAGACTTGTCTGTTCCAGAAAATCACAGCATTATTATTTTAATACCTTCAAATCCTTGTTCTATCTTCACATGCTGATAATGTTAGTTGTGTTCATATAAACTATGGGCAAATATTATTCTGTGTAACTACATAAGGCTGTGTATAGGTATCCACTTTAAAAGAGTGATTTGCCCATTATATTTTTAATCAGCTAAGTACTCTTGGTTCTTTAAATCAAGCACAAGTGGTGAAATCCTGTCTTTTTCAGGTGTTTAAGAAGATTTGATTCCTAGAAACTATTTTTTTTATATAAGTTCTCTGTTATAAAGATACAGCTATTGAGATGCGAAAATAAAGATACATTACCCCTGTGACATCCATAACCTTAATGGCTGCAAGCTGGCCTGTTTTGACATGACGACCCTGTGAAAAACAGAAAACCAAAAATATATTTTAGTTCTGATGAGTAATATTATTTAGGCTCCAACTGTATTCTATTGTTTACTTAAGTGTTAATAGTCCATCACTGGGTACAACAGATACAGAGAGATATACACAGAAATCTGAAAGGCTTTGAGGATCAATTTCAATGTAGCATTTATTTTGCAAAACATTCCTACCTCTCTCTTTTGAGTTTCTTTTCACAAAGCTTGTCTAGTTAAATTGAAAAGAATAATATTGAAAAATTTTATTATGCCTCCTTTCAAAGTTGTTGGCAAGGACTTTAGGGACACTTATGAAGAAGGAATCTATTCCTGGGTAGAGAAAATAACTCTCCTCTCAGAAAAAATGCAGTACGTGAAACATTTTTGTTATATTGAAAATTAAAATAGCCTGTAACAATCTTAATGGATCTTATTCTACTATAATATTCATTTGAAATAGTTAATTTTTACTTATATCAAGGGGGCATAGCCTAAAATAAAACAGAAAACAATCAATATAAATCTGTGACCAAAAAAAAACAGTTTTAAGCATAAACAGTGCCTTCCCTGAACCCAAACCAAAGCATCGACCATAGAACTGAACCAGAAGAGAATGGGGTGTGGTGAGGGAGTATTTGCAGAAGGGAAGATTTCTTTTGATTTAGGTAAAAGGTAAAGGTAAAGGACCTCCCGTTGATCATCGATTTGCTCGAGCGGGCCCAGTAACGTCTCCATTGGAGACTTTGTTGTTACTGTGTCTGGCATATCCAATACTCTCTGTAGCTTGCCGGGCTCTCTGAGAGGGGCGGAGGAATCGAACTCGGGTCGGTCATGTTGGCTGCATGCAAGGCAAACGCCCTACCCGCTGTGGATGTGAGTTATTGTTCTTTTGATTTGGTCTTTAAAAAACTTTGACATTGACTAAGTAGCAAGGATGGCCTATACCCTCCAATTGTAAATGTATTCTATGCATGATTTCAAATACAGGTTTTTTCCATGAATGCTATAGGAGACCATAATATACCTACCCATGTCAGCTGTATTAAAATCCCTGCTTACAATACCTTAAACAAGTTATAAACTTTATAAACTTCAGTTTGCTAATCCAAAAATTTGAAATACTGAGTTATTCATAGAATAGCAATGAGGATTAAATGAGATCATGTACATAAGAACATGACAATGAGTGGCATAAACTAGCTGTCAGTAGATGTTGGCAATCATAATTTAGATGTGTTGGTGTGTGTTGCATTACTTTAATTTTCATCTTCCTTTTTTTTACACTGTATATTGCATCATATTGGTGGTACCTGGATAGAATAATGGGTTTCTATCCCATAGGGGGTGTGGCATGTCTATGAGCGAACACCAGGTAATCGAAGATGCTCACTTGGAATTAGGTAGAAGTGAACATCTTTTTCCTGTCCTTTCCCTCTCATACATCATATATATAGTATATTGCCTCTGGATAACCTGATTTTGTTGTTGCTTCCCTTACTTTTTTTAAAGGGTTGGCTTTGTTTTATTCAATTTTTTAAAAAAAATATTTATTGAATCACCGTGAGGTACAGCTACAGACTTATGAACTTTCATGCTTACGTTTCAGTCATAGAGTGATCGAGTACTCATCCCTCCACCAGTGCCCATTCTTCACCAACAATATTCCCAGTATTTCCCGCCCCCGCCACACACACACACACACACACACACACACACACACACACACACACACACTGCCTTTATGGTAGGCGCAATCCCTTTTTCTCTCTATCTCCTTTAGGGTGTTCTGGTTTGCATTGCAGGTATTAAGTGGCTATCATGTTCAGTCTATAGTCTACTTTCAGTACGGATCTCCCACCTCAAGTGGGCCCTCCAAGCACCCTTTACTTGGGGGTCCCTTCTCTACCTGAGCTGCCTTCCCCCGCCCCCCATGTGAGGCCGACTTCCAAGGCATAGAGCAATCCTCCTGGTCCTTATCTATACTATACTTGGATGTTAGTCTCCCATTCTGTTACTTTATATTCCACAAATGAGTGTAGTCCTTTTATGTCTGTCTCTCCCTTTTTGATTCATTTCACTTAGCATGATACTCTCCATGTTAATCAACTTATATGCAAATTTCACGACTTCATCTTTTCTAACAGCTGCATAGTATTTCAATGTGTAGATGTACCAAAGTTTTTAAACCAGTCATCTGTTCTCGGGCATTTGGGTTTTTTTCCAGATGCTGGTTATTGTAAGCAGTGCTGCAATGAACATACAAGTTCAGATGTCATTTCTACTATACTTTTTTTTGCATCTCCGGGATATATTCCCAGAAGTGGTATTGCCCAATAAAATGACTTCCCTTATCTTTTGATTCCATTCTGTTCCTTTTGTTTCCCCCCATTTTGGGAAAAAGAACACCAATATGGAAAAATTAAACCAGTTATCCAATAGTATGATAGACAGCTCCTCAGGGTTAACCCAACTTTAAAGAAGTTAAGAAAGGGACTGGATTGTTATCAGGGAGTATTAAATCACACAACCAGAGGCCAGTTCTTCCCCAGGATCTGCCCAGGACCAGCAGGTATATATATTCAATCTTGATATACAGTCTATACAATCTATATGGGCTGAAGCGATAGCACAGCTATAGGGCGTTTGCCTTGCAGGCAGCCAACATGGCCGACCCGAGTTCGATTCCTCCGCCCCTCTCGGAGAGCCCAGCAAGCTACCAAGAGTATCTCGCCTGCACGGCAGAGCCTGGCAAGCTCCCCGTGACGTATTTGATATGCCAAACACAGTAACAACAAAGTCTCCGATGGAGACGTTACTGGGCCCGCTCGAGCGAATCGATGAACAACAGGAGGACAGGACAGTGACAGTGACAGTGACAGTGACAATCTATATAATATATATACACTATATATGTATATATACAATACATATTGTATATACAATATATACAATACATATTATATATACAATATATACAATACATATTGTATATACAATCTTGATATACAATCTATCCAGAATCTGAATTCCCCACCTGCAAAAGTATAGAGATGGGCCCAGTGGTTGGGGGTCACAGAATAGGTATCATTTTTACCACGACCTCATTTTGTAAGAAGGAGCCTTAGAAATCTACTCCTTGCACTGACTGAATGTAGAGGATATTGCAATTGCTAGTTATTGCTCTGGGGCCAGAAATACAAACTCTGCGGAGCACAGGTCAGTGCTACATGAATGAGAAACAGCAGCATTATCCTCTGCCAACACCACTGCGTGATGTCCAGGTCCCAAGAAGAATTTGCAATGTGGTAATGATGATCTCCGTGAAGGAATCGATGACTTCTCTCTGAGACAGTAAAGTTGTGAAAATAAAGACCATCAATTATACTAAAAAACAAAGGGTGTTTCTCTATGGAAGTATTGATAAGGGGTAGAGAACAAGTGAGAGGGTGTGGATTATATTATAGATTTATCTAGAATACAGTTATTTACTTATTTGGAAATCAATCACCCATTCTGCTGTGTGGTATAGTGGCCACACCCAGTGAGCCAGACCCATGTAGTACAGGCATGATGGTTAAGTGCTTGGGCCGGGCAATGTCAGGGTTATCAACAAATATGTTTATGTTTTTACTATTAAGTCCATGGCACCATTATTTTTGCCTCCCTTATCCCTCTAGATGACCCTCTGATTTTACTTCCTTTCATCCCTTTGTCTTCGTATTTGAGAAACAGTGCTTGGTTTTCAGCTCCTCAATGTGCAGTTGGTTTGCTTTTGGTTGGTGTTCAGGGTTTCTTTTGGCTCTGTGCTTGGGGATCGCTCCTATTCGGCATAGGGTACCATATGGGGTACCAGGGACTGAACATGCGTCAGCCTGATGCAAGGCAAGTGCCCTGCCCTGTCCCAAAACAGGCAATAATTTTTAAATGAATAATTCGATACAAGGACATATCAGCACCTGATTCTTTCCATCAGCAGTCTGTATTTGAGCGGATCTAGCCCATAGTACTGGCCAAAGGAAGCAGACAGAAAGCAAGCAATTCACTTTACATCTCAAACACAAAGCACTGGGAAACTCTGAATTCAAAATTAAGTAATTAATTTCTGCTAATTTTTAAAACTTAGGATACATACATCATTTTATGTTCTGTGATTGCTGTAATAAAGGTAACACTGGGCGGGGGGGGGGGGGGGAAGCTACTTATCCTCCATTTAAAATTTCACATATAAACTAAATTACAGTCCTCAATGGGTCTGACAAATGACTGACTAATACACCTTGGGAATGCATATGGATTTCAGTGAAATTCTGGAGGTAGAAAAATCAACAGCCTCAAGTTAGTCCCAGATCAAGTCATCTGAGCTCTGGAACAGAAAGGTTTTGGAGTTGTCACATCGAATGGGGACAGGGGGTGTTCCAGGATGGAGATCACCCAGCATGAATAGCCTATTCCATCAGAAAACGTCCAACACAATTAGGATACAAATGAAGGCTGAATTTAAGGCAATGTCAGGAGTTCACCAACTTAAGATCATTACACACTTGAGGAGTGCTCATTATTAGGGCTATGTTTAAAGAGACAACTTCATAAAATAACAAATAAATTGAGTAGAAAGAGACCCAGAAGTGCCTAATCTAATCTCTCTCCATTTTCTTTTTAGACACCAGGCTAAATCCTTAAACCCATCAAGGATTTAAACCCAAGAGATATTCATCTCCATCCAGTTCCACTGTTCTGCTCTTGACTTCAAATTTCTTACCAGTAACATCTTAATGCTATTTTCTTTGTAGCATATGCATATTTTCTTTGTAGATAACTTGAGTTAGACATCAAACAATTCATTGGTTTTATGTAGATAATTTATCATTTGTCACTGTCACTGTCCTCCCGTTGTTCATCGATTTGCTCGAGTGGGCCCAGTAACATGGTGAGACTTGTTACTGTGTTTGGAATATGTCACGAGTAGCTTGCCAGGCTTTGCCGTGCGGGCGAGATACT